TACATTTTATATGGGCTAGGGTTTGATTTCTGTATTTATAATTAGCATTATTTAAAAAAAAAAAAAATGATTTTACGACTACGTGTGAACTTGGCGCAACAAATCTAGTTCAACAGCTGAGGCAACACCACAAAGAGCTCTATGACCAATGCATGGCAAAAAAAAAATCCCTGGACACGGGATTTTTTTTCTTCTGCCATATGTCTGTTCTAGAGACATTTTGTTAAATCGCGATAGGTTTTTTTTTGTCCATATCGCACAGCCCTAGTCCTCATATAGAAAGCTAAATGCGTGTGTGTGTGAGAGATGAGCTGTTTGTCAGGTGGGAGCGCTGCTCTGATGTTGTCCGGTCTGATTCTCACTGCTTTCTCTCTCTCTGTGTGTGTGTGTGTGTGTGTGTGTGTGTGAGAGAGAGAGATGAGCAGTTTGTCAGGTGGGAGCGCTGCTCTGATGTTGTCCGGTCTGATTCTCACTGCTCTCTGTTGCCTGTTACTCTTCCTGACAGGAAAGGAAGCTGATGAATGACATGCTGTGCTGTTTTCTCTAATGCAAAAAGCCTCAACACACACTCTCCCTCTCATTCGGTCACTTACACACACACACACGCACACACACATGTTGTGTTTCCATGTTTTATGGGGACATTCCATAGGCGTAATGTTTTTTATACTGTACAAACTGTATGTGCTATTGCCCTACACCAACCCTACCCCTAAACCTACCCCTTACAGGAAACTTTGTGCATTTTTACTTTCTCAAAAAACTCATTCTGTATGATTTATAAGCTTGGTTCCTTATGGGGACCTCAAAAATGTCCCCACAAGGTCAAAATCTACTAGTATTACTATCCTTGTGGGGACATTTGGTCCCCATAACGTGATAAATACCAGGTACACACACACACGCACACACACACACACACACACACACACACACAGTCTCTCTCATTGATACTAGTGACTTAATGCTCAGGTCGATACCCGTTGTCTTAAATTTAGAATTTTGCTCTTCTGACTATGTGTTTAAGAATTGTCTCAGTTTTTAGCTAGTTCCATTTTCCAGCCATAAACAAATGTGCATTTAAAGTGACTTGGCCACACCCCATAGGATGTTGAATTCGAATGGCAGGAAGAGGAATTTACAGTGAATCAAAGAAAGTCACACATCAGAGGAACTTCATTAGTCCACCACAACAAATCGCTTGTTCTGTTAAAGGTGTCCGTGGTGTAAACCTGTTTCTTCTTGTTTGGCTACATTTTGAAAGTAAATTAAAGCATTCTGGGTGCTTTAAGCATTCTTCCACTATGGTTGATATTAGGGGTGTGCGATATATATCGTCTGCGATAATATCGTAATTGTTGTTTTAATGATGTGCGATTTGACATTATCAAGTATTTTGCAAAAAACCTTTTAAAACACCCACAGAGTGCACGCATGCATTACATGAAGTCTAGACTAGTGCGCATTTAGAGTGTGTTCTTTCACGGCATGATTCTAATAAAATGCATTTACAATGATCACAAAATTCAAGATATGGAGACAGAAAGTGTATATATTTATATCATTTCATATAGTTGATCAATACCACACAGAGAGTGCCGTTTTGTCCTCAAAATTACCATGATTACAAATGTAATATTGATTTTTTTACAACAGTTAAAAAAAACAAGAAGTTAATTAAGAGACTTGCGTTTTAGACACCATATTTTCTATTTGTTGCTATTTCGACAACAAAAATCATTCCAAATACAGCCACAACGCTGTTTTGCGTGTCTGAGCAACATGACGTTTCTTTCCTGAATGAATCAACCGTTTAAATGATTCGGTTCAATCGCAATGACTCACTTATTACCAGTGACTTGCTGCCACCTACTGGCGGTTTTAATCTCACATTCAGTGTATCTTTTATTATTTAAATAATTTCAAACGTTTTATGTTTAATATATCAAAACATTATTTATGCATTTGTAATTGCAGGTTAAATGCATTCATGTCTTGATTAAACAGTGTGTAAACACATCTAAATGCCACTTCAGATTCTGTGTTTCCTCTGCATTGCAAAGATGAATTTTATTTATACTGATTTCATTTGCTTGGTAACAGCCCACATATCGTATTATTCTAATTCACTAAATAAAAAATGTAAGAATTTGACTCAAAAGATAATGCACACTTTTAGAAAAATGGCTTTATATAGGTAAAAATGCCCATAAAAGGTAAAAATTAGGGATGCAACGATACCGATACTGATATCGGTATCGGGCCCGATACTGGTCTCCTGTACTCGTACTCGTTAAAATGCCCCGATACCAAACGCCGATACCACACAGCATGTGTTAAGCGCCATATTCAAACAAAGAAACACCGACAACAGAACAACAGAAAGGAGTATCGGGCGAGTACTGGAAAAAGTAGTATTGGTGCATCCCTAGTAAAAATCAATTTTAACTTATTGGGAAAGATTAATTTCAATCAGTGTGAACTGACCACCACACAGAATATGAAGAACATCAAAAACTTTAGGAGTCAGCTGTCCACAGTAGTCCTTAGGATACCAGCACAATAACACACTCAGCAAAATATCGTCTAATTATCGTTATCGATAAATTCCAAGAAAATATTGAGATATTATTTTTTGTCAATATCACACACCCCTAGTTGATATGAATATATATGATGTATGTCTGTATGCAAATATTAAATGCAAATTGTTATAGGTAGCATTAGCAATTTACCCATTGATTGTTAATATCATCTAATGCTTTTATAAATAACGTTTACTAACAAGTAACATTACATACTAGGGTGTTGTTATTGTTAAATAAAACTATTAAAACTATGTATTTTTTATTGAAATAAAGCTGAAGTAAATAAAGCAGTAGATGGAAAAACTTAAGAAAATTAGATACGTTGTCTTTGCAATAAACTGAAATAAGATACATTTAAGTTGAAGTACTAAAATGACAAAAAATATAGCCAAAATAAAATTAAGGTTAATATTAATATTAATAAGATACATAAGTATGCACATGAAACAATAAAATTACTAAAACTAGAACTAAAATTAAAATGAAAACTGAAAATATAAAAAAAACCGAGTTAAAAATATTAATAAATACTATAACAGTATATAAATGATATTAAAATAACACAAGTATATGTACTAATATTAAGGTAATTATTGGTTTTAATTTATTATTAAAAACTACCTTAAAGGTGACATATCATGAAAATCTGACTTAGTGCTATAAAAGTGCTATAATCAGGTCCCTGGTGCATCTACCAACCAAGGAAATGTGAAAAAGATTAACCCAATCACTTTGTTTTGGTAAGCCTTTTTCTGCAAGCGTCTATTACATATTGTAAAAAGGGGCATAATATGTCACCTTTAAAACTTTTTATTTGAATTATACAAATCTTCATATTCATATTCCTCGTATTCAGGAATTGATTTGAACTTCTTAAAGGGTTCTCAGTTCAGTTCTGATTGGCACAAGCCCCTGACAGTCACATACACAGTGCTCACATTTAGTTCTGCTTGTGATCAGGGAGCTGATGACTCTCTGTGTGTGTGTTAGATACACTCTACCCTCTGTAGTCTCCTCATTAAAAGAGGCACGGTTGAGTGGATGCGCTCACCAGTTCAACCAGTAGATTTCTATGAGGTCATTGCAGTACTTTCATGGGAGTCTCACCAGTATGTACCTATGTTCCTATTTTCCCTGTCATTCATTTTCACTGTCACACTAACAGTTTTTGTGACTCTGCTTCTGGTTTATTTGCAAATAATTTCCTATACATTATATTACATTACTGCCAGATATATCAGCAGATGCCCGGTTATGACACCAGGATGCCAGTTTAATGTTGTTTCTTGTTACAGGATGGTGAACCGGTGCTGACAGGGTTTGTAGTTGAAATGTTATCAGGGCCTGCTGTTCTGTTCTGTGATACACACAAGATAGTTTTATGCCCCGCTGGGCGGATTGCATCTTTTCACTCAGTGATTGGCTAATGTCCAGCTCTAGTGCTGTGATGTCACACTTAAAGGGAGTGGCTGGGTTTGTGACTGGGTTGTTCGGTGTGAGATTTAGCTTCGCCTGGTGGTTGTTTAGAGTGCTGCAGGGTGATTAAACTCCCTCTCCATCTTCATTCATGCCTTTCCACAGGTAGAAGCATCATGCCCATTCAGAAAAACCCATGGTGATCACTTACTGTCAAGTTCACTTCCAGTACTTTTTGCTTTATTAAACAAAATGCCTAGATATTAAACAGTTTGTTTTATATACTACCATTCAAAAGTTTGGAGTTAATAAGATTTTTTTTTAAAAGTGACAAACTTTTACATTCTCTCTCTCTCTCTCTCTCTCTCCCTCTCTCTCTATATATATATGCATATACTTTTTTTTATATAAATGCTGTTCTTTTTAAATTTCTGTTCATCAAATAATCTGGAAATGATTTATCAAGGTTTCCACAAAAATGTTAGGCAGCACAACGTTTTCAGCATTGATTATAATAAAAACAGTGTTCCTTGAGCAGCATATTAGAATGATTTCTAAAGTATCATGTGACATTGAAGACTGGAATCATGATGCAGAAGATTCAGCTTTATCATCACATAAATAAATTATAATAAAATGCATTAAAATAGAAAACAGTTGTTAGAAAACTTTGAAAATATTACTTCATAATATTACTGTTTTACTGTATTTTTGGTCTTGGTGAACATAAGAGGCTTCTTTAAGAAAAAAAAATCTTACTGAGCCCAAACGTTTGAAAGGTGGTGTGTTATTTCAGGATTTGAACACAGGCCTCCATGGATACTAAACACAAACAGTTGAATGAAATTAAATTACCACTGTTGTTTTTTTTCTTTGGTAATTTCCTGTCTTGTCAACTCATCAGCCACTGTTACTCCCTCAAAACAAGACATCCCTGTGTGAAATTATATTAATTTAGTAGCTTTTTTCTTTTCTTTTTCTTTCTTCTCTCTACAGGAGCTGGTAAAGCAGTGTGGTAGTGGACCGGAGGAGAATAAAGATACAGACAATCTGGTGCAGGAGACCGACAGTCAGTATGGCACATGGGAGACAGGACTCCACACAGATGACAGGTGAACACATGCCTCCCAAAACCATATAAAATCATTAAACAACTGTCTATGTCCTCAAACGAACGTATACACTATACCTGAATGACTCCAAATTATCCTCAGTAACTGTTTGTAACTCAACACCAGGATCAGTTGCATCTTTTGAGTGGGTCATCTGTAACGGAGTTCATGGACAGACACACAGACAGACTGGGCTTGTCAGAGAGGTTTGGTTACAGCAGTGACTAATGCAAGGGATTCAGATGAAACGAGAGCTGATATACAGTAATCATTGGGTTGGATGGGTTGTATCTGTGCCCTCAAATGATCTTTGGATGGGTGGATATGTGTTGCCTATTAACAGGGATGTCGCAAAGGGGCGATGTAGCCGCTCAGTACTCACAGTTGGCCGGTAACTTTATTAGGAACTGCCAAATTATACATGGTTTAAATTCAATTATATGAACGGGAGTCTGACCAGCACTCATGTAGGCCTAAATGACGTGTGCAAATCAAATTAAAATCAATGGGCTACTAACCATCTGCAATTAAAGTGGTGATGTAACAGAAGTAGCGACAGATCTATTATTCCGTATTTTGCCATACATCCGAGTATAACGGATTATTGAAAAAGAAAAAATTGGAGGGTGGGAACTTGGTTGTATTGGAGGAAGATCTGAATGCGTAGTTGATTGTATGGATCGTATTGTACGTTTAAAGTCTAGCATACATCGCCAGAGAGAACTCTGCAACCCAAGCTCATGAAAATACGTGCCTCTATGTACATTCCTGCAACACTGTAATTACATACCTTACTGCATGTTTTGCGGCAGTTTCAAAGTGAAATGTCCAGAGAGTGGCACTAAAACACACTTTCAATATGTGACGGTCGCATGTTTTTATTACATTGGTACAGACACGTATTGCTGCGTTTTTATTATACTGCTTGAGGTATGTATTGTGGCTGTTCAGTATTCAAATATCCGGGGAGTGTCACTAAAAGTTAATGCTCTTATCATGATGGAAATATCCCCTACACCAAACCCAAACCTAAACTTGCCCAATAGTGTTAAAAAATGCAAAAGTGATATAAAAATGCATTTGTTGATGCAGCCGTGATATTTTAACTTCCTTATGCGGATTTGATCTGTTTTGTCGAACTGTAGTTTCACGGGATTCGTACTGGAGCTCTTCATCACTCAAGTGCAACGCCATATTGTGTGAGCTACCGAGCAAACCTAATGAATTAGAAAACTCATGTATATGAAGCTGTATATGTAACGACAACATTCAAAAGTATCAGTTTTCAAATCGCACAGGATGTTAAAATTGTTTTGAAGCCATAACATAATGTTCTGCAAGTAATTGTGTGAAAATAAGGCTTTATTAATCAAATCTCTGCACCTGTAAATCATACTTTGTGTGAAAAGGAATAAAAGTTGTCAGAGTTTTACTGCCTCTAGTGTTCATTTAAATTGGAAACTTCAGTGAATCGTACACATAGGTACGTTTTTTTGCAGTTTTGCAGAAATGTATATAGAGGCACGTATTTCCAATGAGCCTATGTTAAGCAGTGTTAATTTCGTTGACAAATAATTTTCATCAACGACATTTTTTTCACCGACGTAGGGATGTAACGATTAACCGCGAGCCGGTTGAAAATCGATTCAAATATGTGACTATTCAAATCGGTTGAAATGCTAAACAAATCGTGATTCATTTAGGTGTAGGAGTTTATATGAATGCATGTCTGAGGGGAACTTACTGTATTTAGAAAAGTTTAGATGGTATTTTTTCTTTTCATCTTGCCTCTGTATAATGCATATTAAAGTTCATAAGTGCATAAGAAGACCATGTTCTTGTTCTTTATGAGAAGTGTTTATATTTAATTTTAACATAAAGGCATGCTGTGTCACCGCAGTTAAATCGGTGTCTATCATGATAAAACCTTAATATCAAACCTATATAATGAGTTTGGAAATTTTAGAGAAATGCTTAGTAAATGCACTGTAACTAAACCCATTAGATTTTAGCCGACTAAATTTACTGTAGATTTAGTCGACTAAAACTAGACTAAAACTAAAAACTATTCAGATGACTAAAATATGACTAAAACTAAATGGCATTTTAGTCGAAAGACTATGACTAAAACTAAATAAAAATTTGCTGTCAAAATTAACACTTTGGAAGTCTGACATTTTAGCGGAAGATTAAGTTATGATGTTTTGATAAAAAATGACTTCCAAAATGTCAACACCCTTTAAACTACTTTTACTTTGGAGAAATGTTCCTCGCATAATATGAGGGAACAAATATGAGGAACAAAAATGGAAATTGTCTACGTTTTTGTGCTGCTGCTTCTTCTTCATCTAATGTTACAAGTGATCAAATTTAAATATGCAATTAAAAATATGATCATTAATAAATAATCAGAAATCTTAAGTTACATGAATATGTACACTGTAGTATTTCATATATTTATGCATAAATCTAGCTGCTTCATTTTTTCCAGTTCACTGGCCATACATTGGTGTGGTAAAAAAGCTCAGTTTGAACCTCATAGCAACCTAGATTTACTGTCATGTTTTTGCTTTCTTTCTACATTTTCTGCACAAATACAGACAACATATAAGTGTGTTCAAATATCTCTTTTCTTCTCCTCAGCCTCACTCCAGCTACACCTTCATCTGATGACAACCTCACCCCATCTCCACGGAAGCCCACCCCACCCCACACGGCCGAACAGCCCCTTCTCTTCGACACGCCAGATGGCTTGACCACATCTCCTCAAAAGCAGATAGAGCTCCCATTCCCAGAGGCCAGTCTTCACCCTTAAACCATAGGGATAGTTGGCCTAAAAATTAAAATTGTCATTATTTAATCACCCTCATGCTGTTCCAAACCCATAAGACTTGCGTCAAAGTCCATGACAGAAATGAACAGATTTAATTTAGACTTTTATTCATGGATTAAACCACTTAATTCATATGGATTACTTTTACAATGTCTTTATGAACTTTTTGAAGTGTCAAAGTTTTGGTGGAATGGACTTAAAGTGGGTTGACTGAAATCTCTCAGGTCTCACTAAAAGGATAGTTGATGCAAATTCTGGAAATTCTGTCATCATTTACTCACCCTCATGTCATTTCAAACCTGTTTGACTTTTTTCTGTGCAGCATAAAAGAACATATTTTGAAGAATGTCGGTAACCAAAACAATTTCAGTTCCCATTGACTTCCATTATATGGACAAGAAACACAATGAAAGTCAGTGGGAACTAAAACGGTTTGATTACCAACATTCTTTAAAATGTCTTTGGTGTTTCATAGAAAAAATAAAGTCATATAGGTTTGGAATGACATGAAGGCGAGTAAATGATGACACGTTTTCATTTTTTTGGAGAACAATTTCTATGAAGACTCTTAATTTGAACGCAAACACACAAAACTGTACATGGCATTTGTTTGACATGTCGCTGTCTTTGTCTGTAGACCCCCACAACACTGTTAGACTCTAGTGCACTACGTGCCAGGGTCAGCCTGAACAAGAAGAGCACTCGCAGAGCCCTGCCCTCTCGAGCCGCCCGTCACAGCGCCCTCTTATCACAAGTACCCGAGGGAACCGGAGCAGATGATGAATGGCACTATAAGGACTCAACAGGTATTACACACATCTTTGCAGTGAGACGCGTGTGTACCTGCACATCTTATCCCATGAGGTTGGGTTTATGAAGGTTGCAGGTCCTCTTTGGATCATAATTGTCTTTGTACTGTAGCGAAGTCAATAAAATCTAGTCCTCTGCACTCACTCCAGTCTTTCTCTCTGTATGTAGAGGAGAAGACGGGCTCTTCTAAGCAGGGTGAGGAGTCAGACTCTGAGGAGCAGGCCAAGGGAATTGAATCCTGTACTTCCTCCATGTCTCAGCCTCAGAGAGTGGCACTCTTCCCTGGCATGGACCCATCTGCTCTCAAGGTGAGGGGATTTTGGGGATTTTTTCCCACCAGTTTCCATTTCCATAACCTTGTAAAGCCTGACATATTAAATAATAGTCTGAAAAATCTAATTTTTGGAAATGGAACAGTTTATTGAAACTTTAGACAAAATCTGAAAGATTGTAATGTAAATCAGTGAGATACAGTATAACAGTCTTCAGGATCACATGATCCTTCAGAAATCATTCTAATATGTTGATTTATCATCAATGTTGGAAACAGTTGCGCTGCGTAATATTGTTTTGGAATCTGTGATACTTTTTTCAGGATTTTTTGATGAATAAAAAGTTAAACAGAACAGCATTTGTTCAAAATAGAAATCTTTTCTAACAATTAAAGTCTTTATTATCACTTTGTATTAATTTAACACATCCTTGCTGAATAAAAGTATTCATTTCTTTAAAAAAAGAAAAAAATGTACTGACCCAAAACGTTTTGAATTGTAGTGTAGTGTATATTGTTACAAAAGATTTATATTTAAAAAAAATGCTTTTTATTCATCAAAGAATCCTGAAAAAAATATAACAGGTTACAAACAAATATGAAGAAGCACAACTGTTTCCAACATTAATAATAAATCAGCATATTAGAATGATTTTTGAAGGATCATGTGACACTAAAGACTGGAGTAATGGCTGATGAAAATTCAGCTTTGATCACAGAAATAAATTACAGTTTAAAGTATATTAAAATAGAAAACCATTATTTTAAATTGCAATAATATGCCACAATATTACAGTTTTTTTTCTGTATTTTTAATCAAATAAATGCATCCTTGATGAGCAGAAGAAATGTCTTTAAAACATTAAAAATCTTACTGATCCCAAACTTTTGAGCGGTAGTGTATATATATATGTGTGTGTGTGTGTGTGTGTGTGTGTGTGTGTGTGTGTGTGTGTATATATATATACTGTATATATATATACATATGCATGCATGTATGTATGTATGTATGTGTGTATGTAAGTCAATAGACTAAAGGGAGGCAAGCCTCCGCTGTAAATTTACCTGTGGGTGTTGCCGTTAGACAGTGTTACTTTGCAAAAGCGAGTGACTTTTATACTTTTAATGACATATTTAGTAATATCTGCGTTTTTATTTTTGTAATATCAATTATTTTCTGATCCAGTTTTTTTGAGACACTGCCTCCCTTGCCTACTCTGAAGAAACACCCCTGATATACGTATATATCAGTTGTCACACTATATCTTCCAATAATGTCTTAGTAAGATGATATAATATGCTATAGAATGCAATGATGATTAAGAAATTTACAAATAAACATTCCTCAAAAAACCTGATGTATTATATTTGATACTCTCATTTTAACATTATAAAAAAAAAAAAAATAATACAAAATAATGTCAAGTAAACCAAAGTTGCTTTAGTCCAGTAAATAATCATCTTGAGATTTTACTAACAATATAGCATTTATTCTTACATTTACTTTATAAAAATCAGTAGAGATTTCACAGCAAAAAGGTGAATTCCATGACCTGAAGGTTATATTTATTACTTTTACTTAGTAAAACAGTATGAAGGCATGTAGAAAATTCAGTGAAGTTTTGATCATGTCGAAGACCGAAATTTGCATATCGAATATGATATACATGGCTACAGTTCATAACTTTTTATTAAGAAAAAAAATTAAAAAAAATAAATAAATCTTGGTGATTAAACACAAGCACCTTCCTAACAATGTTTGTTTTAGGTCTTACAGGCTAGAATTGTATGAATTTGTTTGGAAGCCGGTCATTTTGCAGCTTGTTTGACGTGAGATTCGGTCATTCATTTCAGGCTCAGCTAAAGAAGAGAGGAGAGTCAGACAATCAGACAGACGGCCCTTCACCCTCTCAGCTCTCACGCTCACCCAAATCTCCGTTCTTGCCTCGAGCCGCCCGTGTGCTGCCTCCTGCTGGCGGTAAAGAGAATGGGTGAGTGCTTTTAGGTCAATAGACATCAGGAAGTCTCCGAATTGTCTCTTGTTTGGCAGTACTGACCATTATGGTGTGGTATGTTTCTGATTTGTTTTCTCTCTTCATCCCCTCACAGAGAAGAGTCCTCACCTCAGTGGCTGAAAGAACTAAAGACTAAAAAACGTTTGAGTCAGTATGAAAACGACAGTACAGCCTGAACAAGCAGGTAAATGGTCTTATGTGTCTGTATGTGCAATTACATTATAACTAGGCTTGTCACAATTTCTGTAGTTGTTTGCAACAGCAGTGTTTTTTTTTAAACCAGTTTTGATACCATAGCTAAAACAATTTTACACTATTAAAAATGTTGAATATTAATTCAAATATTAACAAGTTTTTCCTTTTCTTTCTTTTTTTTTTTTTTTTAATCGCAAGCAATAGATCAAATAAAGATTCCTTTAAGGGCTTTGAATATTTGACAGCAACATTTAATGTTAAAGTAGAGTAATACAAATTATTCCCTACATGTTGGCTAAAAATGATTCCACTTAAATTATTGGCATGATTATTAGATACAATACATTCATGTAGGATAGTTCAGTCAAAAAAGAAAAATGTCCCTTTTCTTAGTTCCTAGAACTATTGGCGGAAGTTCCCGCTAAATGTATTTAGTTCTAGGAACTCCGTTTGGGGGAACTAGTTTAGCTCCTACTTCAGAGTAGGGTTTAAAACCGTTCTATAGGAACTACCAGTGACGTAAGTATACGCCGATTGGCCAAACGCATACGAAACACCAGCTACCCAACATTTTTAAAAATAGTTACTCCATGAACATGGAAAACAGTGCTAATGGCATTTAGCTACCTGTTGTCTGCAGCGTTGTGTTCTTTTCTCAGCCTCGATGATATGTAACACTGCAAGTTGTCATAGGAGATTTAGTCAGATTTTCATGCTTTTTCAATTGCGTAAATTGTGTGTTCACATTTCATCTCTGTTATCACGAAACCCACGACACACAACAAAAACAACTCCGATCACGACGTCCTCCATTCACCAGTTGTGAATAAAGATGTCGGGTAACACTTTATTTTAAGGTGTCCTTGTTACACGTTACATGTACTTTACTATTATAATAACAATAAATTATGCATAATTACATGCACGTAACCCTAAGCCAAACACTAATCCTAACCCTAACCATATAGTAAGTGCATGTAGTTAATTAATATTACTCAGTACTTAAATGTATAATTACACAGTAACAAGGACACTTTAAAATAAAGTGTAACAAGATGTCGCTGTTAGCTGCTTCAGAGTTCCTACTGCCAGTGCGAATGCAACAGGCAAACGGCCCGAGGGAGAAATCCCTTCTGAACCACCATGCTGGCTAGTTCCTAGAACTACGCGGTGTGAATGCCCTTCATATGACTTACGTTTTCTGTGAAACATAGCATTAAATAAGCCACCAGAACACAAATAAACAAATCAAGGTAATGGACCAAAATTTATCCATGATAATCAAGTTTTGCTTAAACAGTTCATGACCTTTTTGACCCCTTAAAAATACATAGTGTAAGGCATTTACATGACATATTGTCAGGTTAGTAAAGCATATTTTTTTGTGTTTGTATTAAAAGTCAGTAAGACATAATAAAGTTGTACTACTTGTATTGGAGGAAAATTGTTACTTGTATTGTTACTTATTGTTAATTATTACAGTCTCTTACTTCAGTGTAATGCTCCTGCTCATCTAACACAAACCCCATGTCCCATGTGTTTTCCCCCATCATCTCAGGATGCCTTATAACTGCAGTATCTGTAGCTGTAACTTGTGACAGAAGCCTTAACCTTTGACCTGGAGTTGACGGGAATTCTGCTGCTGCTGACTACAACATCATTCTGTTTCATTGGTTTTTCTGGCCTTCCTCTCCAGCCTGAGTCGTGTACATGTGCATGGTGCCTTTCTAAAAGATTTCTTACTGACATAAAGGGTGAAGCAGAGATCTGTGTGTGAAGTGTGTGTCCACGTATGCGTTGTCGAGTTTCTCTTCAGCTCTTCGTCACACGAGAGAATTATTTTTGCATAGAGCCACTTTAACCTCTAGCGAGCGAGAGATCATCCTTTATAGTGGAACTGTGGGACCACACGCACCTACGAGTAACCTGAAGTGCTTCATATAACTGGAGTATGATGTTGGTTTATTTTTACCCTTGTATGTTCATATTAGCACAGCTTTCATGCTGTTTGTTTGTTTGTTTGTCATATTCTCATTGTTTTTGTTCAGTTGATGGTTATAGGTATCAGTTGCACATGCATTTCCATAGGCGATCACAATTTTATTTCTAAACTTTAATAGTCGACAAATCAAAGCTGAGCTGTCTGTATAGAAAGTGTATTTAGTTATGATGAAATGTTAATCACAGAATGTTATATTTGTATTAATGTCGGTTTGAAAGGAAAATGGTACATTTTTAATTATCATGAGTTAAAATTCAAGAACAGCGGTCCCTGTATGTGTGTTGATGTGCGTGTGGAATCCTGTTTGGATGGGCCACTGAATGAATTTAGTTCATCATTTGTTTGCACATGTCTACACTCCTAATAACTCGTTTTTTTTTTTTGTTCAGATTTGAGACATTCAGACATGCAAAGGTCTGTGTGCTGCCTCAGTTTGTCTAGCTTTCACCGTTCCATCATATCCTCCATCATGTTTGAATCCATAATAATATCATGATTGGAAAAATTGCGCATGTACAATCAGTCATTTCCCTTTACGCTCTTCTTTTTATCCCAATACTTTACTTGCTTAAACAATGGGCCAAAAATGGTAATGGGAAATTGCACAATCAGCATATAAATCTGTTTTTCTTCCCTTATAAGATAATGAATTAATACAGAAGGGAAAAGTTTCATTTGTGTCCCTCACTCTTGGTTACACACGTCTTTGAGTTCTTCTCTTTTGTTTACTAGTTTGCTTAAGGGAAATTTGAAATGTCAAAGTACTGTAAACATTGTTCACATTACATTGCACACTTGTTACGGTATTTAAAAAAAAAAAAACCGCTGGGCCACTCCCACCTAACAAGCACTATTCACCTGTTAATGAACAGCGGTTCTGACCAGTAGTCACTTTTGTAACGCATGTGACTTCACACGTGACGTCAATGTTGTGATGTTGGTATGCTGACGGTATGTGAGTAATGTGTCCTACGTTTTTTTATTTTTTATTATCAGCTTCTTTTCATTGTCTGCCTATCGTTGTTATAGTCTGTTTAAGGGTAATTTGTCCTTTTTATTTTAAATTTGACTGTAAAGATGTTTATTGCACTGTTGTAATGCCAGTGTCTAATACTGTAAATTTGTAATAAAATTTACTAAAAAATATTTAAATTCCTTTCTTTTTAATAAAAGTGTGTTTTTCAGAGCTTTTAAGAAGATTTTTTTTATTGCAAGGCTATAAAGCCACTGGGAAGAGCTCGTCCGTTAACACCATCTTTGGCAGAAAACAGCTTTAATCAGAAAGTATAATTAAAACTCAATGTTAACATGCACATCATTTTCTTATAATAGTACATATTCTGATTAAAGCTTATTCTTAAAGACATTAACATGGTTCACAGCTATTGGAATATTCCTATTAAACATATAATCAGAATATTCCAAATAAACTAAGACATGCAAAGTCTGCTATTCTATTATGGAAATAATGGAGATGCTTGGTATTGAAATGTACTGTACATTACTGTTCAAAAGTTGAGGGTCAGAAACTTTTGTTTAGCAGGGATTCAATAAGGATCATGTGACACTGAAGATTGGTGCAATGGCTGCTAAAAATTCAGCTTTACCAGCACAGGAATAAATTATATTTTCAAATATATTATTATAGAAAATTATTTTAAAGGGGTGGTTGATTGCGATTTCACTTTTTTAACATTAGTTAGTGTCTAATGTTGCTGTTTGAGCATAAACAATATCTGCAAAGTTACCAAGCTGAAAGTTCAGTGCAAATGGAGATATCGTGTTTTAAAATTCTGGCAGTTTAATGCCTACAAAAACGACTGGTAGGGACTACAACGAGTTACTTCCCGGGTTCGTGACATCACAAACCCAGATAAACCCCGCCCTCAGGCAAAGTCAGCAAAGGGGGCGAGGCCATGCTGCGCTGCTTTAGAGAAGAGGAAGAGAAAACTAGAGGTGCACGTAAAAATCTGTTCATATATGAATCGCGATTCTGTCTTCTAACGATTCTAATGGATTAACAAGTTTCAAAATTAATGTTCTAAAGCAGCGGTTCTTAATACTGTTCCTCGTGTCCCCCTGCTCTGCATCTCTCTCTCTCTCTCTCTCTCTCATTCAGCTCAGCTCCAGCAATGAACTGTTACAATTATACTTATTTTCACATAGCTATGAGAAGCATTAAACATGGACGCGTGTGCAGTTGCCGTACTGTATTAAAGCTTTAATCAGGATAAAACTGTATATTAAAAGCTAACATAAGCAGTAGCATTTGCAAATAACAGCGTACCTAAAAGTATGAGACAAGAAACAAAAAACATAGGCCTACCATTAAAAGCCATGCTTGCACAGGTTCTGCACGATCCTCTTCAATAATATCCTCTGCGTCTCAATCGGGCTCAAACTGATTAAGTGATACTAACGATACAGTTGTTTACAATACAACCGGAGCACATGCCGCTGAGGTGAGGGGCGGGACGATTAGACACGCGCTAGTGAACCCCTTTAAATTGTAATAATTTACTGTTTTTACTATATTTTTGATCAAATAAATGCAGCATTTAATGAGACATATGAGAATAAGAGACTTTCAAAAACAGCAGGTATTAGCTTAGTTCTTGTAAAAAGTATTGATCTCAATTGGATTTCCTAGTTAAAAAATATGAACGTGCACTGTAAAAAATGACCGTGAATTTAACGGTAAAAGTGCTACAGCAAAAACCTGTTAAATGGTTAACGGTAAATTCCCCTACTATATGCGGTGAAAAACTGTATTGGACATTACATGTATTGGACATTAATTTTACGGTTTACATTTCAAACTTGATGTTTTTTTTTTTAAATAACTATGTTTCTTCTTAGTTTTTTCTTATCAGTTTTGTATATTAGGGTTGTGTGTTACACCTAATGTTGTTAAATGAATGTTTATTGCATTATTTCAGATTCATGTGTGTTACCATGATGGTGTTTATCGTTTGTGTGAATGACACTGTGCACCTTTTATATATGTTATTCTTTAAAAACTGCTTGTGATGGGCTTTGGTTCATCATGTGACTTTCTCATCACCACCTGCATTTCGTGGTTATCAGTGTATTACAAAGGTACAAAACAGATTTCAGTACTTCAATAGGTTGGTATATTAACATGATATCAGTTAATGAAATTACGGTATTTAACTGTAAATTTAAGTTAAAACCGTAAAACCTAAAACGTTGCTACAGTATTTTTTACGGTAAAATTCCGGCAACCGGTTTTGAATTGTGAATAATCTTGAATCTTGATATGATGCAAATTCAGATGTCAATTTCAAATGTAATACACCAAATCTAAAATATTAATTATGGATCAATTAATAGACTCAATCAGCTTTAGATTTCAAAAGGTCTAATACACTTATACAACAGTGAATGCCCAAATAAAAGCTCAAACATTCATAACGCAAAATCACTTACTTATTTCTCAGCAGTAGCAAATGAAATCACTGACACAACTGAAAGTCAAAGATAAGCATTCAGAGGTGAAGAGTAAGGAAAGGATGGGGCATTACAGAAGCTTTACGGTTTGAGGAGATGTGCTGGGAACTTAGGTGGAGGGATGGAAGGCCCCTCTTGGGTGATACTGCATGTCACGGATGCGCCTCACAGACTGGATGTGAGGCAGCACGGCCCCAAACTCAGAACACTCCTTAAATTCTCCTTTCTCAAACAAGTACTGGTAGCCTCTGTATCCTGGGTACTGATAGCCCACCCAGCTGGAACCAAGATAACAACAAGAAATTAACTAAAACAATTACTATGCAGGAGAACATTTAAAGGTTAGCCTGGAAAGTGTCAGAAATTGTCTTAAATGTGAGTTCACTGTACTCGTGTCAGCGTTTTTTGAGGTGTTACTCACGTGCCACTCTGCACACGAACTGAAGAGACTTTCTCATGGTATCCATGAGCGTGGAAGCTGGGAACATCATCATCTATGATCTCAATCTTCTTCCCAGCGAAGCTTGGGTTCTCATAGAGTACGATCTTGTGTCCCTGGCTATCCTGCGTGCATAGGAAGTGTAGAACAGAATATTAATAGCCCCTCTTTGGGACATATTAATTAATATACACATTTGGACACACTTGACTCAAAACGTTTTATCATATGATGGTTGAGAGAATGTCTAGAGGACATTGAAGAAGCTAAATTATTACTTAGTTTTCCTTTGTCACTATATAATTTCCATAATTCAATTTTATAAATTTGATGATGACAATACTATTATTTTCATATATGTAAAAGAGTCATAATTAAGCATGAATCCAAACTTTTGACTGGTACTGTATATATTAGACAATTTTATAATCCTGGAGATAGCTGTTAGTTACCACTTTGATGGGGCGGAAGGCGACGATGCAGTCACTGCATCTGCTGTTGGTCCAAGCGTCCCAGCGAGGATACTCACCCTTCTCAAACACATACTGTTCCCCCTTACAGCCGGGCTGCTCGTATCCCACCCACCTGGAACAAAAGGTGGACAAGTCTTTGTCATACTTTCTTGCTCATTCACTTTTCTTTACATAATAGTTCTCCAATCTGATCAGACCAAGAAAACTGACATAACAGTCCATCAAGAACTGATACATTTCACGGTTTGTATCAGTCCACTTGTCTGTGTTGACAGATTTCCAGAAAAGAGTAGTGAGTGGTATGGAGTTGTTTCACTGTGTCTGAAACAGGGTTGCCAGATCTGTGTAATAATCGAATTGGCTAATAAAATATGTACTCCCATACCTAAAAAATATATATTTACCGTCACAATTATGCATTATAATTTCAACTGTTTAGTAGTAATGACAACTAGTGAACAAAATCCTTTGGTGGGGAGGCAATCCTAATTTTTTAACTATTTGAAAATAGACCTTTTGCAGTTTATAGTCTAAAATAAAAATTTCAAGATATAACAGATAAAAAAGATAGGAATTATATGGAAAATGCTTCTACAGTATACACAACATATTATAGCCTACTTATTTATTTGCTAGCAACAACCCCTGGAGAGAGTTGCCAGTGCCACTTCCTCACAAAATCCCCTCATTACCTCATCAACTAGAGTTTTTATCATTGTCAGCATATAAATTGTATTATAATGTGTATTGTGTATACTAATGTTTCTCACAGTCCATTACGCGTTTCTGTAGTGAAATGTAAAACCCGGGCTGGAATCTTTGAGCTGTCGCTCCGGTCCACTCACACATTCAAATCCATTTCGTGTGTTGCTTGACATCAAGCAAAGCCTGAAGCTGTCGCTTCTTTTAGAATTGTTATCCTTGGCAGAGGGACAAAATATCCGTACAAATTAAACAATTTATGTCTGAAACGTAAGTTATTCAATATTAACTTCTTGTTTGTTGAATGCAACGCAATATTACCCCCGCAAACGTGCTATTTTCCCCTCACACACAAACTCACGGTCCACACAGCACCAGTATTGAGCCCACTTTCGTCACGTCCGCCTCTTGGATGTTGTTACACGGCCCAGTCAGCTCATGACAGCGGCCTTGAAAGTTTTCCTGTTCGTAGATGACCAACTATAGAACAAAAGACGGGAGAGAAAGTATTAAGGCAGATAAGCGGGAGTAACGGATAAGTTACGCACACCACTCATACTCCGGGAACGTGTTTGTACCTTGAAGTTACTGGCAACTGGTTGTTTTTGCTTGGTTGCAGGGTTCTGGTGATCAGTTGCCATAGTGAACCAGGATGGGTGTGATGAGCTTTGTTCAGAGATAACATTAGGAATAAAATAGGAAGCAAACAATAATTATTAGTGTCAGTTGTGTAGATATTTAAATATTGCAAAAGCATAAGAGTGCATGACTGACAAGGTTGAGTTGTTAAATTTCACATTTAAGTAGCTAAAATATATGAAAATGAAAAGAGCACAAACTTTAATAATTTTTTAAAAAGCAATTTCTTACCAGCTCCGGGATGTGCCAGTCGCTGTGGGGTGGCATCAGTGGCTCAATATATACCACAAGCTCAGGGGCGGAAACACTGCCAAAACATGTCTCTGTCCAGAACACGCTCACAGTCAGGTCCTAATAGGCTGACCAGCTGGCACTGGGAGGGCTGAA